TTACAGCATCAGTGTTGTCTCCATCAATTTGGAGACAAATGTCTCCAAATGTTACAATGTAACACCCAGAGTGTCTCCACTCTGCCTGCCAGAATCACTCACAAACCTTCCTCTCATGGTAATACAGGATTCCTATGGAAGATTCCAGAATCAGAATCGGTACAAAGATGGAAAACAACTGCAATTAACTTTTAAATTGCTAAAGGAAATCATACCCAAGTCTATGAAACACTGCTATGTGTTTGACTGGCCATTTCTGCCGAATGTCACTACAGATCTTTCTGATTTCATTTTCTGCCATTGGGAGATATGCTTCATATTCTAAGCTAATGACTTTTTTCCCTTCAAAGTTATTTCTTGTAGTCCCTAAAAAAAAAAAAAAAAGAAAAAGAAAAATATTAAAATAAGGTTTTTCCTTACAATAAAAACAACACATTAATAGAAAAGAGGATTATTTTTTTAAAAGACAAGCAGCATACCGATTTGTCTAAAAAATGCTTTGAAATTTTCTAAAAACAAAAACCTGGTTAGAAAAATTAAAAATAGGGGTGCCTGGGTAGCTGAGTCAGTTAAGCGTCTGCCTTCAGTTAAGTGTCTGCCTTCAGCTCAATCATGATCCCAGGGTCCTGGGATAGAGTCCCACATCGGGCTCTCTGCTCAGTGGGGAGCCTGCTTCTCCCTCCCCCTCTGCCTGCCCCCTCTGCCTGCCGCCCCCCCTGCTTGTGCTCTCTCTCTCACTCTAATAAATAAAATCTTTAAAAAAAAAGAAAAAAATAATTATCACAAAGATACAGAAATAAAATGACACTGATTAGGCAACATACCAAAAATACTCATAGGACAAACCAAGATGGGAAACATTATGCTCCCAGGATTATCATTAAGTTAGTATCACTATCATTTTTCCCCCTCAATATTTGGAAAACACAGAATTCTCCCTGCTCATAATGACTTTTATCCTACTCTTTTAATGCCTTTAATATAGGTTAATCTGAAGATTACTAAAACAAAATAAGAACCAAAAAAAATTCTACCCACCACCATGGGTAATCTTGGCTTACTGTTCTCAGTATCTTAAAATCCTCTATTAAGACTGAGCATGGGAAACACTTGCTAATTTCTCTTGTCTTATGCAGTCAACAGATGCTGTGAACATGACAACTCACCTACAAACAGGGATACTGCACCACAGAGTGGAGAAATCACCAACTGTGAGGCTTCATCTATGGACAGCTTCTCAGTGGTGAATTTTATTATCTCCTTAGCTGACTCTTCAACTTCCTTCAGATCTTCCCTAGAAGATATTAATAAACCTTAACATTGGTACTAGAGGCAAAACACCCAACTTACAGACTGTTTTTCAATTTATATTTTTTGTACATTAGATGTGATAGAATGATAAAAATAAGCAGGTGTAAAATTTTGGCAAAATCCAGCATGTTTATAAATATTCCTAATGAATCAAGGAGAATATAAAAAGGAATTTACCATTAACAGGATCAACTTAAAATGTAATCCATCTCATGTGCCACTTTATTCCAAATTCTGGAATCGCTGCTCTTCTCTGCCATCATGGGGTCGGTCCGACATCGACACCTCCATCCACACGCATGCCACCTCTACCCACTCTATTTCCATGCACCACACCTAAACTGCCTTTTTCTTTACCCAAAAAGAAGACAAGGAGGACAGAAGCAATGCTGACTCCACAGGAACTGGACTCATTTCATAACCGGACATAATCCAGTAAGTAACTGAAGAAACAAGGAAATGAACTGCGTGCCTATCACCAGATGTTGTACAAAGCCCTTTGCCATGCATTTCTCATTTCATTCGTCAAGCATCTATTACATACTCCCTAAGAGACCAACCCCATGCACTAGACAAGGACCAGGGAACAAACAACCTGGCTCCTGCCCTCAGGGCACCTACACAGGAATGGAGAAACAAAGCAATAGAGAAAAATTATATATAGGGGTAACATAAAAACAAACAGGGTTCTGAAGCAGAGCATGGGTGCTGGGGAAGAAGGGCTGTGTAAGAGCATCAGGGAAAGCCTTTCTCAAAGAGATAGTATTCAGGAGTGAGACCTGAAAGATAAGCAAGCAGTCCTGTAAAGAAACAGGGAAAAATGCCCCCAGGCAGAGACAGACAGAATGGCAAATGCAAAGCCTCTAGGACAAGAAAGACCAAGGTGTGCTCCAGGATCTAGGGGGAAGCTGGAACCTAGGGTTCAGAGGAGGGAACAGATGGGCTGAGAATGGGCACGCAAGTCGGGCTTTGCAGGATGAGGAGTCTGGATATAATCATAAATCTGAGGGGTTTTATTCACATTGAGAAAGAAGGCTCAGAGGAGTTAAGGACTCATTCAAGGTGATTCCAGTCAGGGACTCTCACTAAATCCAACATTCTTTTCCCTATACTTCCAACTACTGAAAAGAAAAGCACAAATATTCACATTCCACTGGATTCTAAGATGTTTCAACCTTCTGTACGTGCCACCTGAGCTTCTTACAAGAACTTAAAGGTAACCCAAACATGGTCTACGCTCTATGAACTTGGAACCATGCCAAATTCCTAAACTTGATTCTGTAAGGACATGGATTCTAAAACCCCATGATACAAATCCTGTCAAACACCTTCAAACAATACATAATGCTGCTTGAGTAATCTTTCTAAGCTTTCCAAAGAACATCTTTAATCCTCTCTCTCTCTCTCTCTCTCTCTCTCTCACACACACACACACCCCTTTAATGGCAGCATACTATTTTCTGAATAAATTCCAAACCCAAGAAAACGGCATTTTTCTAAAATCATGGTGGTGATATGGTGACAAGTTTCCCAGTAAAACTGAGAAAAATATCTGACAAGAAATTCTACTATTTCCAAATAGTGGGACTAGGAAGGATCCAGTCTTTATCAGTATGATGGGGCACTTGCTTTGCAATATATATTCTTCACTTTTTGGGGCACTGCCCTCCAACAGAGTGGAGGAAAAAAATAGGTGAAAAAAATAAACTGGCATCCTTGGTATGTTCCTTTCTTTAATGAAACCAAGGTTTTGCCATTGAGTGTGATATTTACTCTTGATTTTGGAGAAAAGCCCTATCACATTAAGGTTTTCTTTTTTTTTCATTCCTAACTTACCAAAAACTTTTAATTAGGGATAATCATTAATTTCTACATTATTTGCTCTTCAGCTGTCAATAAAGTAGCCTCATTCTCTCTCCAGACTATACTAAGAGATATTCTTATGCATCATCCTACTTAGATAAAGACTATGCTGTTCGGGAAGATGCCTTGGGTCCTAGAGCTACCTGCAACACAGCTGTAAGAATAAAGCTGTTTCTTTACACCTGGAAAACGGTAAGCTTTCTCGTCAGGCACAGCGGTCTTTCGACATTTCTCGTACCCAGGAGAGCTATTATCCTGTATTAATAAACATATTTGTGAAAAAGTACAGAGAATCCAATAATCTGAATTCAAATGTTGGCTCTGCCACTTATTAGCTATGTGATCACAGACAAGTCTTTTAACTTCTCTGAATTTTAGTTTTCCTTCCTGCAAAATAGGAATATTAATACTCCAGCATCCAGCACTGTGCCTGACACATAATTTCAATAAACCATTTCAAGTGGAGAGAATGAACATGTCAAACTGACATAAAATTAAACTGCTTACAAGAAAACAGACGTAGAGACGACACACAGATATGTATAAGTCTGTCTACATCAACTATCACAGCAGCAACTAATCTTTACTGGCACAGACAGACTTACAAAAAGTATATCCTTAAAGCAAATCATATACAAGTTATCATCTATGTGATCCTTTTCCACAAAATTGGTTAAAAAAAAAAACGTATCTCACACACCCAAGTGGCTCATGACCACTACCCTCCACTAATGGGGGGGATAATGGCAATTTCGTCCCCCGACCGAAGCTGGAGGAGTTGATCTCCAAGCTCGACATATTCTTGACGGACAGCAAATATCACCTGATTTCTGACATCAGCCAATCTGAAGGGAAAAAAGTAAAATTAGAAGTATCAATGTTGTGTTAGACCTCAAATCTCTTCAGCTGCAACTAAAAATATCACATTAAATATTACCTCATGAAACACAGCCTGCAGAGTTACTAATTAAACCAATTCATATTCTGCAGAGAAAGTACACAACCCCTGAAGAACATACTTATTCACCACAAAGAACACAGTAAACTGCTAACAACTCTTTAATGAGTGTTGTGTCTCAGGGATTTAAACAACGACCTAACCCCCACCTCAAAAAACAAACAAACAAAACAAAAAAACTAGATCACACAACATTCAGACCAGTCAAGAAAAAAAAAGAGAGAGATTTCCTAATCAGTACACGCCCTCCCCAGGAGATCTTCTCAGTACACAAGTATACTAAGTGCATCTCAGAATTTTCCCACAAAACCAGTGTCTCTCAACAGGTAAAAGGTTAAAGATAAAGCAGGACCAAGGCCCCACCCCATTTCATCGATTATCAGGGCACTTTAAGAGCAACTCAAAGGGGCACCTGGGTTGGCTCAATCAGTTAAGCGCCCAACTCTTGATTTCCACTCAAGTCATGATCTTGGAGTCGTGAAATCGAGCTTCGAGTTGGGCTCCACGATGGGTGCAGAGCCTGCCTAAGATTCTCTTTCCTTCCCCCTCTGCCCCTTCCCCATGCTCTTGGAGAAAAAAAAAGAAAAGAAAAAGAAAAAAGAAAAAAAGCAACTTAAAATTTGATATGAAATCAAGAATAGTTTTCCCATTAAACCTACATTGTGGAATATCTTTTACAATGCACTAGGACTTCCCAGTTTAAAAATCTACTATACAGGGGCGCCTGGGTGGCTCAGTTAAGCGTCTGCCTTCGGCTCAGGTCATGATCCCGGGGTCCTGGGACTGAGCCCCACGTCGGGCTCCCTGCTCAGCGGGAAGCCTGCTTCTCCTTCTCCTCCCCACCTGTGCTCTCTCTCACTATCTCTGTTTCTCTCTCAAATAAATAAAATCTTTTTTAAAAAAAATCTATACAGACTTAAGTGACACAATTAAAATTCCTGGAACTCCTTCAAATAAGCCATAATTATACTTCGTTGCAAAAAAGGACTTGAAGTAGGAACAAAAGCAGTAAATTACAGATTTTTAAGAACCAGAAAAAAATCAAATATTATGAAAACTCGATTCAGCAGTAGCTACAGTTTGTGAGCTTTCACTTTTCTTTTAATCTTAGAAATTTCTACTTTGAGTTCTCTAAAGAAGGGGCAGGACATAAAACTAAAGCACAAGTTTTCAACCTAATTTGTAACAATTCCTGTAATGTTATAAAAATGCAGAACCCACATTTTCAGTATTTTATAAATTATAAAAGCAAATATGTTCATGTCCCTTTGGCAGTATTCCAGCTCACTGTGGTTTTTATTGGTAAAATATCTTTAGCTTTAAGAAATTGTGCATTTTTAGATACCAAAATTTATTAGTTACAGAAAAACACGTCTACTGACCCTTTTTGACATTAAGCATGGAAATAAAAATGAGTTTTTTCTAATCATTTACACAGTTTTCAATGTTAAAAAGCGCTAATCATATGCATTCTACAAATTTTTAACTACCCAGGATGTCGTGCTTCTATCTCATTCCACAGCTGCAATGCTTTTATTTCCTGTGGCACAGAAATGGTCTCCGAGCGAATTCCTGCTATCTCAGCACTTTTTGCAAAATATAACACTTCAACCTGAAAAGGAGAGGAAATGCCTTTAACAGTAATAGACCTTTTCTGTCTCCGTGAGCTTTTTCTTTCCAATTACTCTAATCAAAAACAAATTTTATAAATTAGAAATAATTAAATCACCCAAAAAAATGTCAGTATAATTACAAGTTCAAATTTTGAAAACTCTTTGTTTTAAGCACAATTCAGACTAATTTCCAAATCCTTTTGGTTTTATGAATGTAAGCCTGCCACAACAAAACCCTAACGGTATCTTCTTAAAAACCATTAAGTTGTCCTTTGTTTGACATAAAATTATAGCATCTTTTATAAACACTTAAGCAGTGAACTGATGTCTGAGTCAAGAGATAAATTACATATAACCAAAAAAAAGACACGTCTTTCACGCTTGTCATATGACCCTCGATTTTAGTCCACATTACATCGAACCCAGCTGCCAAGGATTAAGTTATGCAACATACAAACCCTGACGTTTGTAAAAGCAGGTGGGTTTGATATACAGGTTAAACTGGTATTTCCTAGGACAAACCTATGCCGTCAGCCTGGCATCTAAGAAATCCGACCAATTAAATAACCCACCTGTGCCAGTGTGCAAATTATTCTCTACGAAATAGAGGTTTGCAAATAATCAAGGGTTTGCAAATGCATATACGAAGCACCTTTTTTCACAAGAACTCTTAGTTAAATGCATGAACTTGAAAACTGTCTTTGCCAAAACGTATAATCATAGAAGCATGGGGGCGAAGTCGAGGGTGACTTTAGAAACCTCTGACGCCGTCACCTCGGAGACCAAGAGTTCGCGGACAGAACTTGACCTTCTTTCAGGCAGCCGAAGTAAAGCTTCCGCAGCCCGGAGGGGCAACACTGGTGGTAGTGGGCGCGGCACCGGACGAAAGACTCAACTAAGGTGGCTTCGATGAGGATCCGGCTGAGCAGGGCCGGGTCTGTGGAGGGAGGAAGGAAAGGGGGCAGATGCACCTGTGAGCGTGCCTCACCCTTACCTGACATCGCAACACCATCCCGACCGCGGAAGCGGAGCAAGGTCGACGAGAGCGCAGGCGCAATCTGACGGCTCTTGCCGCCCACACAGGGCCTGCGCAAAACTAGCTCCGCCCCGCTGCTCTCTCCGCACGGTTCCAGCTGCAGACGGCTTCGCAAAAAGCTCAACTTCCACTTGCTGCTGGGTAGCGGTGGCGAGCTTCAGCTGTAAGTATCACGAAATGCGGAAATGGCTGGCCGTTCATGCCCGTCTTCTTAGATGAGAGGCCGAGGTGCGGGAGAGCAGACACCGGTCTCTCCTGGACACTTGTCACCTGCGTCATGGAAATTCGGCTTTCCCGCTCGTTCACCTGTAGGCTTGTCTTTGACATTTCTTATCTACCCCAACATCCGGTATAAGATTAATGTCCCTTAAAGGCAAAGCATTCAATTTATCAGAGTATTCGAACTGTGTCAGATTTAGACTTTCCCGGTTTACTAGCTACTCAGTAATTTGTCCAATTGCTATATATCCGTCCAACATTTCCAACTTTTTATCAGCAAGAACTCTGTTTTAAATTGCTTACACAGTTTTGTGGATAACGCTAGGCGCCCCTCCCCTTGGAATTCACAGTGCTGGATGTGAGACAGTCATAAACCATTAATGGTAGTCAGTGTACCAAAGGCAATACTAGAGGTACATGTTACATTTCATGGGGGCGGTAAGGGGAAAGTGGTCACCTGAGGAGTATAGTCTAGGAAGTCTTCACAGAGGCATGCCTGAGCTAAATCTGCTAGAATGAATAGCAGCAATGTCAGAGTGAGGGTAGGGATGAGGGAATTTCATTAAGGTGTGCCAAGCCAGAGGGATATAAAGCAGCATTATGAGGTCACAGAAGGGCAAATAGTTGGCAAGGTGGACATGCCCCCTTCAAGAAGTACTGGAAATGAGGCTAGATACCAGGCAGTAGTATCCCGTGGGAGGAAAAATTGACAAGAACACCAACGTATATTCCTACAAAGTTGCTAAACATCAAGGATAAAGAATTATATTCACAAACATAGGAAAACAGGGGAATGATGACAACAGCCTTAGACCTCTCCGTGAGCTCTAATGCCAGAAGATGGTGCAACATCTAAAAGAGGCTAAAAACAAAAGCATGACCCAAAATGTTATGTACAGCCAAATGGGTGTTGTAAAAGGCCATAGCCTGATATTCCTAAATCTGCAAAACCTCAAAAAATAAAATATCCAAGAGTTCTTCTTATAAAATCTCCTCAGGCAAAAATCCAGTCAATCAAGAGAGTAATCAAACTAAAAACTTGGTAATAAAGAAGTTAATGTTAAAAACAAAGCAACTGAAGATGAGATTTTAATCCATTTAAATTTCTATAAAACAAAGACATCAGGCGCCTGGGTGGCTCAGTTGGTTAAGCCACTGCCTTTGACTCAGGTCATGATCCCAGGGTCCTCGGATTGAGTCCTGCGTCGGGCTCCCTGCTCGGTGGGGAGTCTGCCTCTCCCTCTCCTCTCTGCTCGTGCTCTCTCTCACTCTCTCTCTCTCTCTCAAATAAATAAAATCTTAAACAAATACATCAATTGCAGGATTATGGTTATGGAATAAAATGTAAATAACATTGAAATAATAAAAAAATTATAGAAACTGCCCCAAATTGGAACATGTCATTACAAAATACAGTTCAAGCCTCTTAATATTTTTCATAATCTTGTTTCTTAATTTTAGAAGAATCCTTTAGGGGCAGCTATGTCTTGTGAATAAATAATAACCTGATGATTTGTAATTCCCTACTTTGTTGTTAAATTCAAGTAAAAAGAAAAATCTAAAAAAGAAAAATAGCACAAGATATAATTGCATTTAAAAATTAGATCTATGTAACTTTAATGCCCGGAGAAGAGGGATGGAATAACAGTCACCAAATGATAGTAGTTACGGTATCTAGGTAGTGGAATTATGTATGATTTTAAAAATACTTTTGCTTTCTTCTTTGAAAGTTTCTGTGTTGCTTGATTTTATAAGTAATTTGTTTATTCTATAAATATTTATTGAGTGCTCATTGTTATTTAAGCACCAGGGACACATCTGTGAACTATAAAAGTAAGGTCCTTGCCTCATAGAGCTTACATTCTAGTTAGGAAGACACTATATGTAAAAATAAATAAATAAATAAAAATAAGAACAGTTTGTGATGAATGCTTAGAAGGAAATGAGTAGGGAAGGAGCAGGGTGCAGGTTTGTTAGGATGGTGGGGGGGATGGGGGATGAACATCGCCTGACCTGAGATGACATCTAAAGGATGAGAGGAGCCAGCCTTGTGCAGTGCTGGGGGAAGAGGCAACCTGGCTTTGGGTAGGAAAGACTCTTCGCGTTTGAAGGATAAAAGAGAGGCCAGTATGGCTGAAATGTTAAAAAAAAAAAAAAAAAAAAAAAAACGAGCAAGCGAGCAAGCCTGGTGAGATGATTTTGAAGAGAATACAGAGAACCTGGACATAGAGATTCTGGGAGGTCCTGAAAGCCAGTGTGGATTTTTACTTTCAGTGGAAAGCCACATACAAAGACACACACACACACACACACACACACACACACACACACACACACACACACACACTTAAAGACATGATTCTGCATCTGCTCTGAGCCATTCTGAAGAGCCTGAGCACAAATAAGTCTAAAAAGAAGGCCAATGAAGCCTTATCCATGAATTTTTTAATTTTGTGAGATAATAAGTTCCTTATTTTTCCTAAATATTTTCTGCCATAATTTTCAGCTATTAAATAGTATCTGGTCATGTATTTTACCCCATTATCAGGAACTCTTCATGAAATGCTACTTACTTCAGTGACTTTAGGCAAGTTGAAGACTATACTCATATACTATGTTAAAAAATAGAAGGAATAGGGGTCCCTGGGTGGTTCATTGGGTTGAGCGTGTCTGCCTTCAGGTCTGGTCCTGATCTCAGGGTCCTGGCATTGAACCCCGTATGGGGCTCCCTGCTCAGTGGGGAGTCTGCTTCTCCCTCTGCCCCTGCCCCTGCTCATGCTCTCTCTCACTCTCAAATGGGTGAAATCTTTAAAATAAAATAAAATGCTATGATTCTGAATGGTTTTTAAAAAAATAGAAAAATGGATCTTCAAGTCTCAGTCTACATGCAGGCCCTTATTATTAAGTGTAACTGGACTTGTGAAAAGTGAAAATATCTCTGAGGAAGAGGAAATTTCAACTGTGTGGTGTGATATCTGTAGACACTTGACTAATATCTTTAATATATTTTTGGTGGTATTTGAACTTCTCATTAAAAAAGTGTATGATGCAATAGTTATTTTTTGAAAGACTAGTTTAACATAAACTCATCCAGAATTACTCGTTTTAACAGGTTACCCACTTAATAAACAGCCTACCAGAGTGCCTTGCACCTTGTAGGTATACAAAATATTGTTGATGCGGTTTTGCAACTGAATGAAATTATTTACAAAATAACACATCATTCTTGTATAATTTTATTCATGGGTCGTTTGGAATGAAAACATAAAAACCAGTATACACTATATACGTTAGTTTATTCAAAGAAATAAAATCAAAAGAAACACGCCCCCTTGTGGTTAGCTATTCCCACTTGCAAACCCTTCACCTTGTAAGTGGAAAGTAAATACAAGAGCTTTTCGCAAATGGTCAGCTTTTCACTGACAGCATTCTAAAGCCAATATACAATCTTCCAGTTTTAGATGGTAGAGGAAAATCAGATCTCAAAATTTCATTTCTGCATAATCTAAGATATGCACAACAAATAGATAAAGAAGAAAAACCAGAAAAATACACCACACAGCAGTTGTTAGCTAATGAAAAATACAAAGGCTCTTTTAAGGAGTATGGTGTGGGCTCTAGAAAGCTCCTATTACTGACTTTCTTAATACTCTTTAAGAGGGAGAACTGAGGAAAACAAAAACCTGAAAAATCTTACCAAAGGAGAGTTGGTGACACAGAAATCTTTATAAAAATAGGAAGCCCATCCCTTCAGACATAAAAAATTGATTTGAGGCAGTTGCAGGAGCAGGGAGAGGCTGAGCCCAGAATCCTTAGGGACAGCCCAGGAAAAGTCCTCCTTGTCTTAAAGGTGCTCAAGTAGTGAGTCAACCCCACCTATCACATACCTGTCAGCAATTTTAAAGTAGAAACAACTGATGCCTGAATACAAGGTAAGACCTCTTGTATTACTGCCTCTCCTTAGAAGTGGCAAAAGTTCTAGATGCCCAAATCCAACTAGAAATTGCAGAGGAATCTGAAGCCCAAGTTTATCTCTGGTTGTAAAGGGATATCCCAGACATTATGAAGTTAACCCAGATGAAGACCTTTAATAAAAGTGCAAGAGAGAACAGAGCCTAGTTTGGCCAATAGAGGCTGCACACAGGCCTAGCTGAGAAAAAATTTCTTCCAATCCTTTACTCAGCCCACCCCATGCCCTCAGGCTATAGATGCTCCCTCCTCTGTACGTCAGGGGTCAGCAAACCTTTTCTGTAAAGCACCAGATAGTAAATATTCAGACATCCCAAGCCATGTGATCTCTGTCACAGCTACCCAGCTCTGCTATTGCACCAGGAAAGCAGCCACTGACACTACGTAATGAAGAAATGTGGCTCGGTGTTAATAAAATTATTTGCAAAAATAGGAGATGGGCCAATTTCTAGTACACACCATATTTGCTGACCTTTGCAGTGTCACTCATAAAATGAGGGGAAAGGACGGAGATGGAGGAAAGGGGAATTTAGCCACATTGTAATTGCCATAAATACGTTTAGACAAATCTTTACATGTTAAGTATCAATAAATTAAGAAACAGAAAAAAAAGTATAAAAAACAAGGGAAAATATACATCAGCAAAAAATGATTAAAACTAATATGGAAAAAATGTAGTATGCAAATGGCAGATGAAAAAATACCTTATAGTGGAAAGCAAACCCCTTGTACCTTCCCCCAGAGTGCTTTATAAGAGAATTTAT